ACCCTAGCCCCCATCAGGCCTACCCTAACCCCCATCAGGCCGACCCTAGCCCCCATCAGGCCGACCCTAGCCCCCATCAGGCCGACCCTAACCCCCATCAGGCCGACCCTAACCCCCATCAGGCCGACCCTATCCCCCATCAGGCCGACCCTAGCCCCCATCAGGCCGACCCTAGCCCCCATCAGGCCGACCCTAGCCCCCATCAGGCCGACACTAACCCCCATCACACATCACATCTGACAGCTGCTGTGAACAAAAAGTCCCGTCATGTTTGTTTGCTGTTCAGACTGTGACAGTGACCTATAAGTGTGGGAAATCACAAAGCGCCCACAGCAGCCGGCGGTGTGTCAGCTCACACCTGCACATGCTGCTGCTGTATCTCCCTGCTGGGGGACGGCGCCTCGGCTTCATTGATCTCATTAAAGTTCAAGCCAGTGTGTGTGAGGTGCGTCTGAGTTTCAGCACACTGTGGCATCCACCGGTGGAGCCTCCCACACCACACCAGCCTCCTCCTCAAACCACAGCTGTGCGTGCAAAAAGGAAAAAATTCTCCATCTTCACTACGAGCTCGTGTAAAAGGGAAAGCCCTGTCAGCCTGGCATGTCTGTCAGACAGCAGCAGCACATGAGTGTGGACACACAGCTCAGCACACACTCCGGCCGAGTCGAGGTATGTTCGCTTCCTCTTACACAAATCTTCTCTGACATTGCTGCCGCTGCTCTGGGCCGTGTTCTGTCTTCTGTGTTCATTCTGTGCTCGACGTCTTGCCGCCGTTGCGATGCTGAAATCCCACAATTGTGAAAGTTTGTGTCAGCAAATGTTCAGACTTTTTCTCAGGCTGCAGAGAAACGATGAGGATGAAGTTAGTTGTGTTTGCTGTCAGAGCAGAAGGTAGTTGGGATGATAGAGAGGTTTCCTTCAGCTCGTCTTGTTTTTCACTGTTTCAGGTATTTTATACATTTTCAGCTGCTGAACAGAGCTGGTGCATCAAAATTCTGCTTCTTAGAGTGATTGTTATTCATGCTGTCTCAGCCGAACCCTGCTTCTAAAAAGTAAACCACAGTTTTAGTTCATGTCAGTGGCAGCGCTACAGAACCAGCACATGGTGATGACGGAGGTCCGGCACAGCTTCAGACACCAAACCTCATGTTTCACTCAACAGGACTTTAAATTTACAGCAATTCAAACGCAGTCGAAGGGCAGCACAGCTGCACCGGTCACAGTGAAGCTGGGTAAATATGACAGAACATCTTCAGAGATGCTCCTCCAGATCAGATCCCAGCATCGGTCTTTTATAATTGGTTGTTAATGAGCATCTCTGTGACACGCTGAGGAACCAGAACTGCCACCAGCCGGGTTCCAGCTGCTCTGAATGACTCCGTGTGGCTGCAATGTGAACGAGTCGGCTCGGAAATCACCGGGAGATCGTGCTGACATTGTCTGACTGACGGGCAGGTCGGGGTCATTTCACAGGTTTCAGCCCGACCACAGGCTGCCCGCCCACCCCAAGCCCGACCCGGTGAAGTCCCAGAGCGGCGCTGCTCGGCGGCGGAGCGCTGACATGTCGCTCTGCGGTCTGGTTCAGTTACACGTGTCAGGTCGACTCGTCATTCACAAAATGTCACATTTGAATCAGTCACATAAACTTTGATCAGCTTCTCCTTCCACATACGTTTGTTTCGGACCGGGCCACATTAGTGCAGGTGGGTCGGGTCCAGAAGGACCATTAACTGAATGTACATCTGCAGGAAAGTGTTCCTTATGAGCAGCATTCTCCTGCTCAGGGGGTCGATACGTAAACCTGAAAGGCTGCTGCATGATCAGTACACGGGTCCAGTCTGGTTAGGTCCACATCTACAGGACCGGAAACCTGTTTCACTGAAGCACTGAAGCTGGGTCAGGCTCGCCCCTAACCCTGTGCTGCATCTAAAGCCTGTTTGCTCGCAGTGGAGACGGTACCGGGGATGATCCCGCTGATCCATACATGTTCTAACTGGGCCTGGTTCCGTCACACACACCAGAACATTTAGGCCATAAACTAATGCAGAAAAGGCACAAATGAGTGCAAGAAAACTGGACAGCACCGACGGCCACAGAACCCCCCGTGAGAGGTTCTGAAGAAGAAGAGAACGCAGCACAAGATGGACAAACTTCACAACCCAGACCCAGACCCTGACCCAGACCCAGACCCTGACCCAGATCCTGACCCTAAACCCAGACCCAAACCTTAACCCTAAACCCAGACCCAGACCC